GGAAAGGATTACAAGAGAGCAAGCAGCCACACAATGGGGAATACATCAGACCGCTTGCGTAGTACTCAGGGCTCCTGGTGCATTGCTTTCAATGTGTATTCCCCATTATGTACGCCTGCTTACTCTCTTGTAATCCCTTCCTCTCCGATGAATGTAAATACAAACATGAATTCCCTTCTTGCTAATTATCCCAGCTGCAGGGTGAGCATTCCAAACAGAGAGTGGAGAATAGAAAAGCCTAGTTGCGTGATTTCCCATTTAGTGACCACTTCACTTAGCGATGGAGTTGCTGGTCCCAATTGTGGTTGCTAAGCGAGGACTACCTGTGCAGCTAGTTCTGTGTGTGCCAGAGGTTGGGAACTTTGAGCTCTGCCCATGTTTCTTAACTAGGAGTCTCAATCAGCATGGCCAAGAATGAGAGAAGCTGGGAATTGTATTTCAGCAGCAATTAGTGGGACACAGCATACCTCATTCCTGATGTACAGAGATTGGGAGGGACACCAGGAGTACCCAACAAGAGTTGTTTTGCTATTAAGTGATCACTTGGACTAACCAATAAGCTAACATCCCATCTTCATGGTTCTAAAGAAAGAGCTGACTGACATAAGACGCTACCTTATATTGAGAAAGATTATTAGACTCAGTATTATGTGTCTTTTGCTGACACCAGAGCTCCAGGGTTTCCTCAACCCTTCCTTGGTAAATTGTGGGGGTGACAACATGGCAACTGCAGCCTTTGCAAAGTAGGGCAAGACCCAAAGAGATAGATGGACTTGTCTTCTTCAGCCAAGAAAACTTTGGAACAGATGTTTTAACTTTCCAAGGGAACCTCCCTCCAGCCCGGTAGGTTCTGAGAATTACAGACTACATCTGAGAGCAGCAGCAGATGTTCATTCCTGGGCAGAACAAAAATTTAGCAAATCTGGTTGCTTATAGCTGGAAGACAGGATGATGGAGTCTGAGACTAACCTGGTAGAAAGAAGTTTGGGTTCTTCTGGAGCACCAGACGTGCAAGGCGCATTTGTTGAGCAAGGCAAGAAGGAGGAGCTGTGGGTTGACAGACTCCAGACCCTAAATGCAGATGTTGCCTCTTTCAACGGCTTCTAAGGAGCCAGATGATGCCTTCAAGAGCTGGGATCGTACGTACCTTGAGTGCCGATGTAAGCGTTCCTTTGCTTGTAACCGTCCATGAAGCTGGCGTTGATGTAGTCGGTAAGCTATGGAGACACAATTGCGTTTGTCAACCCTACAAACCAGCTACCGAAGCTACATTTGAGGAGCGGGCAAAGTTAGGTATGGAAGGAGACTATTCTTCTGTGTCGCTTTCCCGAACTAAAGAAGATCTGATTTTACTCCCTACTCTTAAACAAAAGGCCCACGAAATCTTAGTTTAGGTCTAACTTTCTGCATTAATCGGATATTCTCTCTTGCAACTGAGAGCACCTTTCCTCAATTCTTAGGCAAATAGAGAACTTAACTATTCCTACCACCTGTTGCTTTCCACTTTCTATTCTGCAAAGTAGGACAAGGCCCAAAGAGGTAGAAAGCCAGGAAAACTTTGAAACAGAACTTTAAACGTTTTATCTGCACAACCCACGCTCTGCAACCAAATTGTTCTTTTATGTATTTATTCAGCTGAACTATAGCTCACCTTTCCTCTGGAGGGTGTATATAATGCCCCCTCCTCCAATTTTTCCCCACAACACCCCTGGGAGGTAGTGTGATCACCGTGAAGGTTCTGTTCAAAACCTGCCTCAATTCTGCAGCCAGAAGCTGAATTATTCATTATGATTTGGGGGTTTGATGCCCCCCAGTGCTGCCTGGCTCACTTACCTCCTGGCAGTTGAACTGTTTGGTTAACTTCACCCTGGTTTGATCAAGGCAGGGCACGTCCCCGTATCGGTTCTTCTCCTGGTTCAAAGGTGCTCTGGAAAGAAGGGCAGAGAAAGGCAGGCACAGTGAATAAGGGGGGCCAGGATGGCACCCTGCAATTGGGGGCCGGGTAGCACAGAAGCAAAATTTTCTGTAAGAAAGAACAGTAAAAAATGGGGGTCACTAGCACGGATGCAAAAGATACCACAGATTAAAATGGTGATGAAACCAGAATTATTTCTGTTGGGTCTTGTGGATGCTGAACTAGAAAAGAAATATGGGAAACTAAACATGGTGCATGACAACTGCGGCGAGATTATTGCACAAAAATGGAAGGATAATAAGATTGTAGAAGATTGTAGAAGATTGTAGAAGAAGAAGATTGTAGAAGATTGGATTATAAAATTGATGGAGCTGGCGGAAAATGGTGAAGCTGACCAGTCGGGTCAGGAAAGAAATGATAAAGCCTTTTTTAAAAGAAAAGAGCCTTAATGCCGAAAGAAAAAAAACTTGAATATTTATGGATTTGGGGATTAGAAAGGGTTAAAAGAGGGAAGGGGAAAAGTAAGAGGTCAGTTACATGATAGAAAGAAGGGCGGAAGTCATAATTCTGTTTTTCTTTCTTTACTTTCTTTTCTTTTGATTTGTATACTTTTGTTGTATTGAAAAATTCTAATAAATATTGTTTAAAAACGGGGGTCCCCAGCCAGCCTCCTCCTCCTCTTCCAAAATGACAAATCCTGCCTTGGTGTCATTGAACTGTCTCCGGTAAATTTAGGGCCCTGCCCCTAAATCATCATCTTCAAGCTGTTACCCCGATTTATTCTGTCCCAGAAAGCCGATACTATTTGTGGATTAAGGATCAGGTAGGTCAGTGTTTCTCAACCTGGGCAACTTTAAGATGGGTGGACTACAGCTCCCAGAATTCCCCAGCCAGCACATGTGGATATAGTGAACGTCACCAATGGCAAGGGATAACAGGAGTTGTAGGCTAGAATTTGGAAGCCACCAAGTTGTCATCTCGTCCTAGAAAACAGATACTGTTGGTGGATTAAGAATTAGGTCAGTGTTTCTCAACCTGGGCAGCTTTAAGATGGGTGGACTTCAACTCCCAGAATTCCCCAGCTAGCCATGCTGGCTGGGGAATTCTGGGAGTTGAAGTCCACCCATCTTAAAGTTGCCCAGGTTGAGAAACACTGCTCTAGACCTTACAAATGACTCAGAAGAAATGGAGAACAATGAAGACTCCATGGGGTGAGACAGTCGCCTTCTCCCAAGACTGGTTCTCCTTAGGAGGGGCTCCAGCCGAGGTTCCTCCTGCCCTCCAACCCCAGACCCTCCTGCCCGGTGGCCTGCCCTGTGGACTGCTTACAAAGAACAGCCAAAAGTCCCCGAAGGGCTGCGGTGCCGGATGCCTTCGTACTCTTCGTAGATTCCTCGCTTCTGCTTCTGGCTCACGTGCTCCAGCAGCTCCTGGAGAGTCAGAGCCTTGGGGCCCGGGACATGCACGGAGCCGTTGTCCCGGGGGGGAGCCAGAGGCACCAGGATCAGCTCATCCAGGGGGTCCGGGTGACCGTTCTGCTGCGGGAGGAACCTGCAATTCCAGCTGAGGGGGTCCAGTTTGAGAGACCCCCCCAGGTACTCGGGGAGGCATTCGTGGGGCAGGTGTTGCCTCAGCTCCGACATCTTCACCATCTGGACCTAAAAGGAGGAAGGAGCGCGTATTGGAACGTGCAGGAATTGGTGTACATGCGTGGGGGAGAACAGGCAGGCTGGGGTGGGTGAATGGCAGCCTGCATGCGCTCCCAGAGTCCCCTTGGCAGTCTCTCAGCCCCCCTGAACTCACCCTGTAAATTTCCCCAGTGTGATTTTGGCCCTTTTTTGACGGAGGGGGGAATCTTGCCTTAGGGAAATGGCTGGCCCTCTCCCCACCTTTGCTTCTCCACCCACCCACCCCGCACCCCACCACGGCCATGTTGCTTGCAGGAACACCCTTGCACGACCAAATGGGCTTCTGCAACTGACAGGGAGAGAAACCCCTTTGTATCTCAGCACAGTTCAGAAGGCTTTTTAATCGTCTGGTAACCATTCATGCTTGACCCTGTTTGTATTTTGTGGGGCGGGGGCTATTCACCTTCCTTACACCATGCACATATTAATACACACTCTCTTTATTCCCCCCCCCAAAAAAAACTTGACTTGGTAGGGCATGGCTCAGTTCCCATGTTCATTTGGGCGACCTGTTTCTGCAACATTTCCAGATCCATTGGATGGGTGGATGAACGGATAGACAGACAGACAGAAAGATAGGATGGATAGATACGATGAATGGGTGGGTGGATGGATGGACAGATGGACGGATAGAGACAGAATGGATAGATACTATAGATGGATGGATGGTTAGACAGACAGACAACATGGCGATAATAAAACACTTAAGAGTTTTGCAAATTTGACTACACCATGATGTGAGTTTCGGTGATGTGGCTTTTCTGGGGAAAAAAAATTCCTATGCAAACTTTAATTAATTCAAGTAATTTACATAGGTTAATTACACTGGAAAAATTTCAGTTTGCTTTTTTGGGGGGAGAAGGAGGTGGAAAAATGACTCCCCCCAGAAAATGTTGCCCCCCACACCACCAGAATTGTAGAAAAGCCATAAGAAGTCGATGGTCTCTTTCCTAATGACCCCCAAAAGGAGCGCATGCTGGGCTGAGATGATTATAGTGCTAGGCAACACACCCTCAGACTTTCCCTACTTGCTGTTCCCTTAAATCCTTCCAGTTGTGAAGATTCTCCTGTCCTCAAAGTGCATCCGTTTATGTCGGCTTGCACTGAATTCCTGATTGCCATTTTAACCCCAGTTTCCCCAACTTGTGGCACGTTGTCTGTTTTCACCGCGCTCGGCCTTAATTACTCGACACGGCAGGTGAGCGGGGCAGGGTCTCCCTCTTAGCACGCTGAAGCCTCCCCAGATCCCACCCGCCCCAACTCACCCTTTCTCGCAGTTTCTCTTTGAGCAACAAGCTGATGATGGAGTAAGGAACCCGGAACCACATGGGGGCTCCCACAATGAACACCTTTTTCAGGCGCGCCGGAAAGGCCCCCTGCAAACCGAGGAGATTTAAAAATTATTCTTATTTTTTTACTAAGCGTTTTTGAAAAAAGGAAGCAGCAGCAGACGAGGAAAAAGGGCGAGCAAAACAAAGCACAGGGAATTTTCAGGCCTCCTAGAATTAGGTTAACGTTTTCCTTCCATCGTTACTTATAAATACTGTATTGTTTTAAAAACTACAGATCGTGGTTAACGTTCAGCCTAGATGGCAACAGCGGCAATCAGCACAATGTAAATGGTAGGAGGAATTGCAGGGATTTCTGTCTGAGTGGGAGAAGATCAATCCTCATCAAACAGATCATTGAAGGTGAGAATATTAAAAATGTGTGCGAAACCCAGATTTTGAATGTGGAACAAGAGAGATTTGTTATCTATTGATCAGTGGGTCAGAGGTCAATGGGGGAAGGGACTTTCTTTTCATATTCCTTGCCTTTTCCCCCCTTTCTCCCCCCACTTTTGCTGTTCTTGTATCCTGTGCGCATCACTGAAGAGTTAACAGGTGGACTGTGGTCTGCACTGAATTACAGGACTACATCCCCGTCAACGCAGCCAAGTACCCCATTCTTTACCTGGGCAGGTAGCAGCACCTGGCTAAGCAGGGTTGGACCTGGTTAGTACATGGATGAGAGGCCACCAGGGGATCCTAGGATCCCGGGAGCTGATCTTAACTCAGAGGGGATTTTACCTGGACCTTCCTGCATTTCCTCCCTGCGGCCAATAGGGGGAGACCCACGCATGTTGCAAAGAGAGCAGAAATTGAGAAACTAAAAAGTTGGAAAAGCAAAAAGAGTCGCTTTTTAACGAGATGGTCGGTGACAAATTTGACATATACATAAAATAAATAAATAACATTTAGAGCAGGGGCTTGCAGGCTTTTGTTGCCAGGCAAGTAAACCAGGATGGTTAAGACAGCTTGCAGCCCCTCTCAGCCAGTGAACCCCAACAAGCTGGAACAGCAGCAAATCCCTAACTTCTCCTAGGAGCTGACGTTTGTTGATGAAGCCTGCACCACCCAAGAGACCAGCTCAGCCTTGGCAGCTGGTCGTGCCCGTGGAACGTATCCGTGGGTATGATCAGAGATTTCAGAGGAAGTCTGGATTATGGGCCGCTAACGACTGCAGATCCTACCGATGAGCACAGGAGATGTCATGTCTGTGTTCGAAAACAACCACTCAATTGCACTGCATTATTTTCTGCCAGATTTTTATATCTATCTATCCATCCATCCATCCATCCATCCATCCATCCATCCATCCATCCATCCATCCATCCATCTTCCCTAAGTTTTTTCTACCCCCCTCCCCAACTTAGACACTTCTTGTGTGCAATTTTGGAATGTCGATGGACTCCATTCATTGCTACTCCCATAGGCTTTCATGGAATATACTTTGGAAAATCTGGGCATTTTGCTCCCATGGAAACCGAATCCTTTTCCAACTCCAGCATATCCCGATAGGGATCAAGAAAGAAGAAGAACTGAGAACCACAGCGCTATGAGAAGCAAAGCATTTATCTGTAACGGTCTATCTGGTTTCAAAATGCAGACCTGAGTAAATTCTGGCTAACAGTGGAATAGAATAGGTTACTTTTCATGGCCGCCAATAACAACATAGTGGAAATTAGGCATTAAGCTGAAAAAATTCTACTTGGAATACAGTGGGATGAACATGCAATAGTTACTTTTCATGGCCACAAGTAGATTTTGGCATCAAGTTCAAAATGTATACTTTTTAGATCATGAGAACAGCTCTATCTATTCTGTTATCCTGAGCTTTAATTGTATAACTTCAGTAATTATCTGCCCATTTCTGGATATTATCTTTTTTGGAAATACACCATTGTTTTAAATAAAATTAAAAAGAAAAAAAAAGAACTGGAGGTCAAAAATAATTCTGGACAATGGGTGGCCTGTATACTAACCCAACAGATAACCACGGTTGAGATTAGCTGGGGACAGAATAAGGGCAGATCTACTCTTCTAACCTTGGTTCAGTTACTAGGAGAGTTAATTTACCTGCGTTGCTACTTCACAGAAGCCCTCAACTGCTTTGGGTCAATCTGCTGATTTAGGACTTTAATCCGATGAATATATTTGAGGATCCCAAATATTTGTGTTTGGCTGGCTTTTTTGAAAAGGGCACGTTAATACAGGAAATAGTTGTTTTTGGCTTTTCTGAGAAATGGCCCTGAGTTCTTCATCTGCAGCATCAGGAGACAACAGGCTGTTTACAAGAAAATTGTCACCAGCGGTCAACACGTCAGAGGTCATAGCCGGTTGGATTAAAAGCCAACATTTTATATCTGTGATTCATTAATTAAACTGCCTTGCACTGGGCAATTAGGGCTTTTGGCTACACTGGATAAACTTGCTAAAGATAAATTCTCACTTCCATGGAAGCCCTGGGGTCAGAGACAATAGCGCTGGGATAACATCTTGCGATTCCTGTATGGGTGGAAAGCTCTGCCAGATTATTACCATCTTCAAAGCAGTGTGACCTAAACAATTACTGCAAATAAGTGGAGCAAAGTCAGTGAACTTTGGAAGCACACAACCTGGTGTTTTCCAGGTACCTGTCCCTGCTTTAGGAATATGAGAAGCAGGGCATTCACTTCCAAGGTGACAGCAGAACCTTTCAGATACCTTCAAAAGTGGTTGCACTGAAGCCTAAAGATCATCTGTTGAGTAGTCTGAACAGGTTGAAATTACCGGAGGGTGGATATGGGTCAAATGTTGAGATTAAACCATCTAGCTTCTTGAGAGAGAGAAAATCAGAACCAAGGAGTTCTAAAGGAGTGTGGCTTCTCCTTGTTGGAAGGCCTTCAAGGAGAAGATGGGCAACCATTTGTGGTTTCCTTCTAGACCTAGATGGCCTTCAGGACTGCTCTCCATAAGTACATAAACAGCAGCAAAGCTAGCTACAAAGGATCCAGCACCCATTATGTATGTTCTGGCTACCACACCATACTTCTCATCAAATTCCTAAGTATGACCAAACACAGTTTCCATGAACAGCAAGAGATCAAACATTTCCATCTGGGAACTTTTTGGGAAACATCATTTTGGACAGGGATTGTTTGCCCTTTATAAAAAGCAGATGGCTCAGCTTACAGGCGGCTATCCTCAATGCCCCCCAGCACAAGAATTGGTTAAAAAAAAAAAAAAAAAAAAGATCAAAGCAATTGAGCTTGTGACCTTGACGAAATTAGCCAAAAATCTGAAGTTTTCTCTGCAGGGCCTCAATTTGGGATTGTAGTCCCAAGGTGTCTGGGCAATGTCCGTTTGAGTTACGATGATACTTTCTCATTACCTTCAGCAGGTTTAAGATCTTCTTGCTGAGGTCCAGCTCAAAGTTGGAGTAATGGGAGTCCGCCATGTCGTATATAAATACCAGGCCATTCCGCTGAGTTTCAAAGCTGGTTGTTGGAAGGAAAATAATTATTACAGTGGAAGTACCACGCCACGTTGCTGTGGTCACACAGCACTTCTACGAGGATTCAGGCAGGGAGCTGACGCATGCCCAC